TTTTCTTCTATGTGTGTATGCAAATTCCTACCATGTATACTTTATTAGTTTAAATATTTTTGGAAGATGTACCTATTTCAAATGAGACAATCAGAGATCCCGTGAACTATTTTCTTTCTTAGTTATTCATTTTATTATAATTTAATTTAATTTGAATGAATTCTTTTGGGGGAGGGGAAGGAATAGGATTGCATATGCTAACGCCATAATTGGGAGCGTGGTGTTATCAAATTGCAAATACTTTTGATTTGAAAATACATGACATGAATTTAATTTTTGACGTCATATATCAGCGTTTTCAACCAGGGTGCCACGAGAGAAATATAATTATATCAACAAATATTTTTTGAATATAGTCGACTTCATGAAACACCAATGTAAGAAACCACTAGAGTATAGGTAATTTTATGAGGAAATATTATTTTAAAGATAACAAGTGTATTTCTTCCTTGTTCGCTTAGCTCGCTCGCGTTATTTAGAAACAATTTTGATTTCAGGCAAAGAAGTTCCTGACTAGTTCCATTTCTTGGCAATGCCAACGAGATCATTCTCTTTGACAGCGAGGTGCTTAAACATAATTTGCACATCTAAATCAAAATTACATTTTACCGCTTGTTTGCTTCTCTTGCTTGTATATGCATTGAAGAAACGAGTTATTTTGGGGGCTAAGAGAAGTCCGAACATTTACATATTCATGTTTATTCGGCGGCGGATTGCCTGCTTACATTGTTATATATTTCTATAGTGTGTCGATTTCAAAATAATGTTTAACATATCAAAGACGTCATTTGGGGGCTCCCTTGCTTCGCTCGATCACAAACATTACATGGCACGTAACGTGTTTTCAAGTAATATTATGTAATGGATTCGGGATTGGGGTGACGCAAACAAACACTGTCGTAGATCATGATTGGTATATTTAAGAAGGTAGTGTTCATGTAGCGCATGGTTACATTGTTATCAACTGATGCAGTGTTCTAGCCTTATACGCACAATAGCATTTCCCCTCTTCGTAATAACACGGCTGACATATACATGTATATATAAATTAAATAGGCAGACATTAATGTGGGTATACAAATAATGTTTTAAACCTTTTTATTTAGGGATATGGGGAGGTATTTCGATCAGCTGCTGCAAAGGAATAGTTGAACAACTTGAACAGCAAGACAACAAAAACAAGACAACTAATTTTGGCTTTTCGTGAATAAAATGGGTCTTTTTGGACAAAAATGTGGTGCAAACTATCAATCAATTCTGTTGTTACCACAGTAGTGTAACGGGAGAAGTGGGGGGGGGGGGGTGGCACTTTATTGTCTCTGGAACCTTCTGTTGGCGTAGCCTTATGTCGTTATGCCACCTAAACCCAATATGTATTTGAGTTGTTTTTGTTTTGAGGAAACGTTTACCTTAGCAAGAGTGTACATTTATTAGCCAAGTGCGTAATATGTACTCATTCTCATCTTTTTAAAATATATTAAACAACAAAATTTATTGCTTATTTTACTTTAAAAAGATGAATTGTTCAGTAAATGTGAAGCGCAGTGTGCCCCCTCTCTGATTTAGCTCCCTTCATATCTGTAAAGCAACAAATTGCCTACAAATATTTTATGCTGGTATCTATCATAATGTTGTAATAAAGAAAAGGTAAAGCAGTCGAGAGAGATAGGAATAGAGAAAAAGAGAGAGAAGGTGTGGAGAGAGAGAGAGAGAGAGAGAGAGAGAGAGAGAGAGAGAGAGAGAGAGAAAGAGAGAGAGAGAGAGAGAAAGAGAGAGAGAGAGGGAGGGAGGGAGGGAGGATAATGGATAGGGCATGATAATTGTAGCAGTAGGGAAAGAAAATTGCTCGACGAATTAAAGAACTTGGTCAAGAGATGGCGCTAAACCATTCATCAACTCAACCCAACAAATATCTTATAAAATAAGAGGGGAGGTAAAAAGTATTTACAAAAGAACGATTCGACAATTGTTCTACATTTTAATTGTCAATTAAAAGTCTACATAATAGTTATCCTTTTTATTATTATTTAATCAGAAACATGTTAAAGGTAATACAAAGTTTTAGGAAATTTTGAAAAATGGGTGGATAATGATTCTTTACAATTTTGATGTATTCGGATGCCCATGTGGATGTGTCACAATCACTACAAAATTTAGCCCCTAAAACACTTCTGCTTTCGAGAAAAATTGATTATAAAAATTTACCGGTGCTCCCGGTAAATTTTGATGAATTTCAAATATCGCCTACGGCCATACAATGGTAGCTGCTACCATGAAAATCTCAGAATATTCAGTTGTGATATATAATTTCCAAACGGGAATAACTAATCGGTCGATTTTAGTCAAGAAACATTGTTTTATAGCTTAATTAATATATTGACCTTGAGAGGGAGCTATACAACAACCAAAAAAGAGTTTATTATTTACAATTTCATAACTTTAGACTCGATTTCAACCGCGACAACGATCACTGAATATTATAGGATCGCACATGCTTCCAATAGGCCTATGTTCATTTCAACCAAATTCATGACCCCATACCAAAACTTTGTATTACCTTTAATTACATTTTGAAGAGTATCTATTCTTTCAAAAGTGAATCCAATGCAATCTTTTATTATCTCTCTTGTCCCTTCACAAGTGCTTTCTTCACTCGCTCTGGCCATTTGATTGTCAAATTTAATTGACCGGTTAATTAACATATTAAAATCCTATGTACAATCTTTGAACAAAGGTTGTTCTTGAAAACCTGAGAGTTTTCCCCGAGGTTTGCCTGACAAAGCAAAAAGTATTGTATGCATAATGGTTCCAAACTGTACAATGCATTATAGTTCCTTTCATTAATAACAGGTTAAAGGTAATACAAAGTTTTGGGAAATTTTGAAAATTGGATGGATAGTGATTCCCCGGAGTGATTCTTTACAATTTTGAGATATTTGGATGCCCCTGTGCATGTATTATAAGCACTATAAAATGTAGCCTCCGAAACACTTCTGCTTTCCAGAAAAATTGAATACAAAAATTTACCGGTGCTCCCGGTAAATTTTGATAAATTTCAAATAGCGCCTATACGGCCGTACAATGGTAGCTGCAACCATTAAAATCTCAGAATATGTAGTTGTGACATATAATTTCCAAACGGGAATAGCTAGTCAGTCGATTTTAGTCACGAAACATTGTTTTATAGCTGAATTAACATCTTGACCTTCAAAGGGAGCGATACAACAAAAAGAGTTTATTATTTACAATTTCGTAACTTTAGACTCGATTTCAACCGCGACAACGATCACTGCAAATTGTAGGATCGCATATGCTTCCAATATGTTTATTTGAACCAAATTCATGACCCCATACCAAAACTTTGTATTACCTTTAATGAAATAGCTCATTTCCACATTGTATGTCCCCTAGAGAGTATACATCCATACATTTGAATATGTTAGTAAGCTTGTTTAATGCACATAGCCTGGGCATACATGTTAGCTCTCTTTGCCAGAGTAATTTCATTTTTCCTTCCTTTCTTGTATTTCCAAAATCACTTTCCCCCTCACCAAATTCTTTTGTTTATATCGTTTCAAATGTCGCCCCTTTTTTCCTCTATTCCCCCCTTCTCTCAAGTTCTCTCTCACTCTCTAACTACCCTCTACTATCTCTCTCTCTCTTTCACAGCCCCCTCTCTTTCTCAACCCCCTCCCTCCTCTCTCTCTCTCTCTCTCTCTCTCTCCCTCCCTCTCTGAGATTCTTTGGAAATGTTCACCCTTCTCAAATCTTCTATTCTTTACATTTCAATCCATACATGCACTACACAGCAATAGTATTGCGTAAAGTTAACAGTTGTATCCAGGCGGGGGGGGGGGGGGGGGGGGGGGGGGGGGTGTTTAAGGGGTTAACCCCCCCCCTTCGATATTTTATGTGTATAAACCCCCCTTTGTTTTTGTTTTTGCTTTGTTTTTTTTAATTAAAAAAAAAAAATATTCCCATGGCTGACCTAAAAAAGGTGACCTTACCCCCCCCCCCCCCCCCCAAACGGAGCAAAATGTCAAATGTTCAAATTTCGAGACCAAAAAAAAGAAAAAAAGTGTCCTCTTACCCCCCCCCCCCCCCTATTCAGCCGCTGGCTGAGTCGATGCAAACCCCCCCCCCCCCCCCCTTGAAAAAATCCTGCGTACGCGCCTGGTTGTATCAATCAATGTGCATTTAATGTCATTAATTTCTTCAATTTCAACACAAGAATAAAACAATTAATAATCAATCTGGTAGTTTGTTATAATAATAACAAATACACCCGTTCTGTGCATATAAATCTTAATATACATAATTTCACGCGAGACTACAGAAATGTTCACAAAATAGGAAATGTGGATAACAAAAATGCATATCATCTATTTTCCTAGTACCAACCAACCCTTGCATAGAACTGGTTGTATTACCTTATATTTCTTAAACTGTTACAAACATTGATATTCTTATAATACAAGTGACTAATATTGCTAGGTCTGAAATTGTGTAAAGAATACAAAACCTGAAAATATATGATTGTAATACATGCGTATGTCAAATTCCAAAACATGAGTAAATAGAGAAATCATATTTCTGACAAGTAAACATTAATGCATTAAATGTATTTCAATTCAGAAAATGTGTTTGGACATGGTACATGGGATACCTGTACATGTATATCAATGTACCTCCCAATACATTGCAATACTCAACACTAACGTTTGCTGATAATAGATATGTTATGAAAATTACAATTGCTCTTGGGTTGTCAGGAAAAAACCTTTAAATTGGGCTGTATTTTAAAGTGACTCTGTAACATTGCCTTAGATTCTGAAACAAGATTCTGGATTTAGCTCATGCTCTGACATGCTGCAATGGTAATTATAAACCTTTAGGTCAGTCAGGAACCAATGACTTTTACAAGCCCATCGCCTGTCTGTTTATCAAGATATTTATGATTGGAAATCATAATTTCATTTTTCATTTTCCTAATTGTTTTTTTATAACACTACATTCTATTGGGGAACATGAGTATGGTAAAACCGGTCACTCACAGATTTTTAATTATTTGAGGCACTTCATGATCATTTTGAAGCGCATTTGTTTAGGGCTTCAATATTACACCATATCACACACACTTATAACACATAGGACCATGTATCTCAGATTTAACATTGTTAAACGATGCCTTTCACAAGTGATGTCTCTGACTTGTTATGATGAGAGTTGTTTGGAACAGTTTTCTATATAATGAGATAAGGCCCCACTACTTATCCGCAATGAGAACCAGGTACAAATGTAGTACTGATGAAGAAACATGGTTTAAATATATTATGCAATTATATTTCTTCTTTTAACTTGTATCTACATTTCCAGGAAGTATTTAAAATTGCATAACATTATAAAGCCCCTAAATGTATGTACTAAATTACCATTAAGACCTCAGAAAACATAACCATTGGAAACAACACAGCATCATTTCATCTAAATAAAAAAAATCTTGTCGCACTATTGTAAAATTGTTTCCTTGAGTATTGCCTAGACTAATGCCATGACTAGTCAATTTGGTACATACACTGTAGTTATGGGTCTAGACAGACCTAGAGTAATGCTGCATATTTCACCTCAAACCGTAAAACAAAAACAAACTTCTTCAACAGAAAACTCGTTTTCAAAGTAAGATATTACCTAAACCAAATCGAAAATATGTGGCACTGTGATTCAAATACTTTACACATGTAGAGCATTTATAAAATTGACAAATTCTGGTTGAGTGATTACCATTGTATTTGGGTTTGAAGCAATTGTTAACAGGCTGGGGTATATAAAGGTTACCTCCTCTTGTCTTAGATTTTGTTTGTTATAAAACAAAAATAAGGCAATGAGAGCTCACTGGAGACTTACTACATACACATGCTGATAATTCTGATTATTATAAAAGCCTTCACAAGAGAATTCAACAGAGTTCTAGGCAGTAGACATTGCTCTGCCCCTGTCGTGGACAGACTGAAACAAGCCATCACCTCTTTTCTTCGCTTTTCTTCTCCTTCTTCTTCTTCTTCTTCTTTTTGTCCACCAGAGAAACACTGCTCGTTCTTCTTCTCTTATTGCTTACTGCTCCTGGATGGACGTACCTGGTGATCTTCAAAGGAGACATGGCTGTTCTCGAGGAAGACCCTCTATAAGTCGAAGAGATAACCTCCTCAGATAATTCGCTCGGTAAACCAAACAGGTCAAGTATCTCATCATCGCCATCAAGTTCTTCATAGTCACTTTCGCTTTCATCACTGCCCTTATCTTCATCCTCATCGTCACTATCAGGTTTACTTCCATCATCGTCAGCAGATTCCTCATCATCCTCCTCTCCTTCAATGTTCTCTTTTTCATCATCATCATCCTCGACATCATCATCAGACTCATCACAAAGCCAACGTAGGAGGCTGTCATCATCATCGATGTCGGATCCATCATCGTCATCAGTTGTGTCCTGCTTCATAACCAGGAGTTCCTTGAGGGCTTTCCAAGCATTGTAAACAAGATCATGCTGCCCTTCAAACATCATTAAAAAGCGAGCTTCAAAGATGTCTTTCTGTTCCTCAGTCAAGGATTGGGCTTCCTCAAACTGCTGGAGGAGGTGGGTTTTCCATCCTTGACCTTTCCATCCGTGGCAGCTCTAGATGTCACATCTCCTACATTTCCTTCTTTTTGTACAACATCAGCTGGACATTCGCTTGTGACTTCCTCATACATGGCGACTTCAATCGCATTGCCATCTTCATCAAAGCACTGCACACTAGAATGATCTGGGACCGTAAGAGTTCTTTGCCTGTTCTTAGAATCTGCTGGCCAGATTCTGCTTCTGTCAAACGCTGCCATGATGTTGCTTCCTGAGGCTTGTTGAGTCCAGACATTGCTGAAGACGGCAGGGAAAGCATACCTGTCCACCTTCATGCCGGGATTCAGAATTTCGAAGTTCATGGACTCTCTTTTCCATTCGAGGGGAAGTTGCCTTGAGAAGCCCCACAACAATGGTTCCTGAAAGAGGTTTGTATACGGTGGCATGCAGTACAAGATGATTTGCTTGTCTTTGCAAAGTCTTGAGACGTACATATCAACATAGGGCCAGTTCCCCGAGATAAGGAGCAGGATGGGTTTCCCAGTTGGTGCGTAGTCCAGAAAGTGATTCCCAATCCAACTATAGAAGAGTTCCACACTCATATCCCCGTTCCGGCTCTTGGTGAAGAACGTTCCTTCAACTGCCTCATCCTCCAGAAGATCAACGTCAGCGTGGTCTCCGGGATAGATGATCATAGGCGGAACAAACTTCCCATTAGCCGAAGCGGCTGTCAGAACGGTAAGATACTTCGCCCCCTCCTTGGTCCTCTTGGCATTGCAGTATTTGACCGTACCCCTATGTCCATCCACCAGAAAGCGATTGGCTGTACAGGTAAAGATACAGGAGCCATCCCTGATTCCTTGTTTCTGCAGGAACTTCTTCAGACTGGTCTGCCACTTGCACAGGGCTGCATCAGACTTGTACAGTTTCTTGGTTCTCTCTGCAACCTGTGCAGTCGCTTTTTAAGTTTCAAGTGCCGCTCGCAAAAGCGCCCCCACCAGTCTTTACCCGGGAGATTGTTGTTACCAAAACGCTTCTTTCTCCCCCTCCCCTCTTTCTCATCCTTGTCCATTATAGTCTTGACAGTGTACATGATCTGTGTCCTTATGCAGGTGTATCCGATTCCAGCCATCTTCACTCCCCAGTCTCTCAGACTCTTTTCTTCTTCGGGGGAAAGGATAGCTTCGGACCTTTTCTGCAATCCAATGGACTTTTACCTTTGACCTTATCGATGAGGGTCGACTTGGGAATGTTGTACTTCAGGGCAGCTTCTCGTATGGACATCTTGCCCTCCTTGGCTGCCTTGTAAGCACGGACTATGTCCTTCTGAGATGGTTGGCATTTCATCTTCGGCATGGCGGATCCTGTCTAGATAGACTCCTGCAAAGAGAAAAAATAAAACTACATTGAAGGGTTGATGTTCAAGAAATTAATTTATGATAGCTAGTCCCTATATGTAGCTAATGCTTGTATTCTTTCATTTTAAAGTAATCAAAATGACAGATACACCTACCAGTTTCACATACAAAACAAAAATTAAATGATTTCCCTTTTCAGTAGAACTAAAATTGTAGCACATTGTAAAAAAAAAGGAACTGAGAAAACATACTGTCTGAATCAAGATTTTGTATCTATTTTTTCACTGCTTGAATTTGCGGGTCAAGCTCCCTATCCATAACAAAATGAATAGCGGCCCTTGGAAATAGCGAGCAAACCATTGACATTTTACCTCTCTATCTTTAAGGACCGCTATCCAAAATATGTGACAAAATGAATAACGATCTGAATGGTGGCCCTTGTAAATTGCGAGCAAACCATCGGTAATTTACCTCGCTATTCATAAGCCGCAATGCATTTATAAGGGCCACTTTTCATATGGACAGCTATATCCAAAATGCGGGACTAAATGAATAGCGGTCCTTGTGAATAGCAGGCAGCTATACACCCCAAATTTGCTTACTCCTGCTATAGCTTGCAACAAATTCATTTGCGGAGTGGCGATGCAAAAGTGAAAAAACCTAAAAAGTGCAGATCTTTGTTAATATTTTCTCATCCCGTTTCAATGAATACTTCTCTTGGTTATTTTGGTTTCCAATTTCCATTGACTTTGTTGCATGTTAATTATCAGATTTTAAAAATCTTACAAGTAACTAATTAGGGTCCAATTGCAGAATGTTTAGATATAGGCCTACAGCACATAACTACATGTAGGTCTAGCACTGTTTAGGTCAGCATGATTCCATGAACTACTTTATGAACGGTGGGGGGGGGGGGGGGGGGGGGAGAGTACGGTGTTGAGCTCTTTTTCATCATCATCATCATCATCGATATACAGGAGTGAGGTAGTTCTGTAGGTTTCCCGGTCGTCTTCCAAGATATAAGTTCAAATGTCAGTAGTGCAGTTTTACTTAACACCCCCCCCCCCCACTCAGTGTTATTTAGGGTACGCATATGCTCGTTCCCTCTTTTTGAAATCACCCCCTATCTGAGGACTGCCAACATTTCCGAACCCCCCTTTAGCGGGCCTTTAGCGGGCTTTTCCTGCCTTGGAGACCCCCCTAAATCATGAAAAATGCTCAATGTACCCCCCTAAATTCGGAATAATTTCTCAGGAGTCCAAAGAGATGAGAGAAAAAAAGAAAAAAACACCCCCTTTTTTAAAGAAATCTCCGGGTGAAAAGTTAATACACTCCTTTTTTACAATTCTCGGGCCGGACTTTGTCGCACCAAAAGTACCCCTTTACCGTACATTTTGGTAACACGCATGGGGTCATTCCGACCCCGGAGTGGGGGGACCGGGACACCCCCAATCAGCCTACCACCTGGATCGTCACTAAATCTACAACTACATGGTCTAGTACAACTTACATGAGTTACAACTTGCGCACTTGTCCTCGCTTTCAAGTGGTAAAAAGTTGAAAAGCGTTGTTTAAAAAAAACAAACAAACAAATTTGCTAGCAGGGTAGTTATACAAGGCTAGACTAGACTAGAGTCTACATGTAAAATTACAGTGTTAGTCTAGTATGACTAGACTAGATCTAATATTGAGAAATAGCCGGACAATGTCAATGCCATGCCCATATGCTTCTCGTTCTAAGACTCTCCAAAGCTCCTAACCAGTCGGATTATGAACATTTACTTTATTTGGACTCCAGGAATCTCCAAAACAGTGGAGGGATCAACTAAGAAGAAGGTGCTTAATTACGTTGCGTTGTACAATGCAAGGCGACCGATAACACAATCTACGAAAGCGCCAATTCACCGCGTGCTACGGTAACAAAACAAAACATTTAAAACAACTAAAACACTGTAATTGTGCTTTAAGCTTGATTAGTATTTAATCTTATAAACTGTTCCATACATATATATAACAAATGTGTCATAAAATTACCTAGAATCGGTGAAATAGTTGGTGGTTTCTTCAGAGATTGACCGGAAACACAGTACAATTCAGATTAGAAAGAAATGGTTACCGCCATCTACGGCTACATTGCTCTCAATTTCTTAGGTTGTGAAATAGTTGTATGCATGTGATTCATCATATGCTATACGTATACGTTGTATGTAGCGTACAATACACTTCACTTCACTGATCTGAGCTGGGGGCGTGAATATCGAATGCACTGTGGTTTATTGCTGAATGTAAGTATACCTATCACTTTTTGTTTCATTAGGAATCATATTTTGATACATTTCATAATTTTTGTGGTCTAATTTGTACATGAATTTGAAGTTTGAGTAAACTCTGACTCTGATTCTGTCTCCAGCTGCATGAGACACTGACTGCACTGACAAGTGACATTGATTGAGTCGTCTTGAGTGATTGTTTGACATATTGTCTGATTTATTGTGATTGTTATGACTATTAATAAAGAGTAAAGTTAAAGTAAAGTACAACATTGTGATTGTGAGTATAAATGTGTAATTCTTGGACTGGAAATTTCTGTCTCTTTCTTAATTATTTGGGTAGGGTCGGCTCGACCCTATATTATAACCAGATTTGTAACAAACGAAAGAGACAGACATTTTCGGTCTAGTGTAAATTCAACTTCTGACTGCCATAATATTAGTAAACCCATCTACATGATGTAGGCAACATGTATAGGCCTACTCTGTGTTGTATCACAAAGTTGGATGAATATAAGGTCCAAATCATGGCTGCATAAACGTTATTTAGATTCTATATTTTAATCACAAGTGATGTAAAACTAGAATGACAAAATCAGTCTTTTTCTTTCCTGTACTTGGCTTAAGCTTGACCGAATCATCTTGATCTTGGACAAAGTCATCAAAGTCAAAAGATGTTATAAAAGACGTACAGGGGTACTCCTTTAAGCTTGCATATTTTTATGTCTAACAATAACACCATGCACACTAACGCAAGTCTATAATAGTGACACTGACAACGTATCCTTGTCTTTTATCTTTTTCCACATTTTAAAGCTGTATACGAAAACCAAGGATCTGCTATTACATGCACTTCACTTGACTGAACAATTCTTGTTGTAAGAGGGGCGGTGCTGAGCGGAAGCAACACCATCATGTCGTTGGGAAGGGTGACTTCGGAGATACCGGGTCGAATAACAGTTTCTCGACATACCACGGTAGCGGTAAATTTTCAATTTTTAACCCGATCTGTTTTGCACTAGCCTGCCTTGCTCTGTTTGGTATTTGGTGTTTCTTCTGTTGATAGTCTTCCAGTGTCAGGTATTTCGCATGTACATGTAACTCTACAAACTAAATCACATTTAGTATTCTAAACCCCCCCCCCCCACCCCCCCCCCCCCCCCCCCCCCCCCCCCCCCCCTCACCCCTCGCTCATGTAGATCTACAAGCATGACAAGTATAACAGCTTTTATTGGACCCAACTTTATAGCTCATTAATTTTTTGGTTACTAACTTATATTCTCCCACTTTTTTTCTCAGAACATTATTCCTATGATCATTTCCTTTTTTTCTCTAGCTTCAAAGTATAGGCCTTTTATATTTTGTTATTCAACCCTCTCTTTTACTCTTTTTTTTCCAATTGCAAGATCCAATTAAGACATCAAATTAGACTTGATGGTTAACAAGACTGCTATCGATCCTTACACACATCCTGATTTGTTGTCACTTTCTCCTTTTCTTTACTAGTGTACACATACTTTTTGTGGCCTCTTGTTTTCTATTTCTTCACGCCCCTTTCCTCTTCTTGCATTATTTCTAAAGTTTAAAGCTGCATTTCTATCTCATCTTATTCTAAATTAGATTTCCTTCTCATGTATCTCACTAAATATGGAAATGCTTCATACATGTACATGTACATGTATATGCCAAATTGTGTTTCCCTGAGCCCAGCTGTGTTCACTTGTTTATTTGTTTAGAAATTATTAAAGCCACAGCGACAAAACAAACTAAAATAGAAGCCAATTTTTCATGGATAACTGATTTGTTGAGATGACCTGAAAATCAATATTTAGCAACTTTGTGTGAGTAAAATCACCAACAATTTCAGATAATGCATCCGTGCAGTGTCAGTGTTGGCAAGCCGTTCTTTTCAGATTCATAGAGCCGCATAGGAAAATACTGATTGATTCCCCAAATTACTGATTTTGAGCCTTCTGATTACCGATTTTCTGTTCTGAAGGTTGGCAGCTCTGATGTATTTCCATGCTCTGAGTGTAGTGATTCTGAAAAGGGCCCCTTTAGACAAAAAATAAATAATATTGTGACTTCCTGCCATTTGATAAATGAATTACATGCAAATCAATACTAGCTTTAACGGAAGTCAAGCAAGAAATTACTAAAACTACATTAAATACAAAACAAAAGCCAATAAACAAAATTTAGATGCAAACAAGTCACTATGATGAAATTCACTGTAACCAAGAACAAATGTACATTGTACTTGTACAGTATTGTAGGTCCATGCACTACAGTACATGTAACTGTAGTAATTCTGAAAATAGTCTCTAGAAATATAAAGGGGGGGGGGGGGGGTTGGGCCAGTATTCATACCTGCCAACTGTTCAGATTAAAGAGGAACATTCCTCTTTTTGGGAGAAGATAATTATCATTTTAATGCAGGTGTTCCTCTTCCTGTACAAATTTGTCTGTAGTATTGAATAGGAGAGTTAGGATTGTTCCTCTTTTTTTTAAAAATAGCATAATTTGTACAGATTTCTGATTTTCAAATGTTGGCATGTACATGTACATGTATGCATATTGTATAGATTCCCTCTGCAATACCATTATGACTCATCATTTTGGTGATTACAAATATAGTGACAACATGACTGATTTCATTTCCATTTTCACCTCTCTGACGTCATGTACACAAACGCAGTAGTTAGAGCATTGTTTGTTTATGAGTCACTGCATGCTTGAATCGTATGCTTCTGAACTACTGACATTGTAAAACTTCATGATATTATTACCTCTTTCAAAAGTTGCTGCATGTGCTTAATGGTATGCAGCTGGTGGATTTGATAACATTTAGAAATAATTTATAGATCTTATTTGTCGATGTTCTGTTCTTCTTCTTAATTCTAAACTTTCTTCATGCGTACATGTACATGTACCTGCATGTGCAGACTTTTCTCTAGTTGTTTAGATGTCAAGTGGTTGTTGAATGTTATACAAAAATATTATGTTTATCTTTATTTGTACATGTATTTATTTATTTATTAATTAATTTACTTATTTTTTCTTCATTATTATACACTGTCACTAGTTCTGTTGCTTGGCTTATTCTGTAAATAATCTACATTTTTGTACTGTGTTTAATAACTTTTTTAAAATTTGTATTATTACTCAATTTAATGTATATATTGATTAAGTTTTAATAATTGACCTTAATTGGTGACTGTATGAGGCATTTCTTTTGCAAAGTGTTTGATTTTAGCAACTTAAAGCCTCTCTGCGATAGTTTGGCAAGGACGGATTAGACCTCCCTGCATGGTCACTGACAGGTGGTTCATCAAATCAGCTCTCTGTAGTATTGAATAGGAGAGTTAGGATTGTTCGTCTTTTTTTTAAAAATAGCATAATGTGTACAGATTTCTGATTTTCAAATGTTGGCATGTATGGATTAGGCATTGCTTGCTATACATGTATATACATGTAGAGGGCGAAAGTAGCTAAAAGTAGTGCAATGGGTCTTGTACTGTACTGTAGCATTTACATAGGCCTAGCAATGTGTTATTCAAACATTAACATGTACACTGTAGTGAACATAAATGTATGCATTAGAACTAGAAGTTTGGCAGTCAGGATGACTTCATGAATTAAAACACAGGAACCTTGGTAAATCTAACATACAATCATAACTTGTAAGTTTGAGGGTTTAGTATGAAATTCCATACAACGTACAGTGTAGCTGCAGAATCACCAGTCAGAAAATGTCTGCATGAATGAATGAATTCAGCTTCAAAGATCAGTTTACATGATAAGTACTTTATTTGTTGAGCTTCATGAACTTTGGATGAAGTTCCATTTGTACGTCAGTGACATTCCAGGAGTGTACATGTAGGTCATTCAGGTCATGCCCATGTATTCTAGTACCAGTACATTTCTACGTATATGAAGAGTTTAAATCCAAAAGGATCTAAATCCATCTGTTGTAACTTCTGAGAAAAAAAAAATTGTTTACCAGATTTTGTACAGGCGTCTATGGAAAAGTGATATTAGAAGATGCACTTTTTCATAACTGTTCCCAAAATTTAGGTAAATAATTTTGTTGAAAGACAGGTACTAAAACGTATGTAAGTGAACAATGTTTGTATGTACAGTAAGTTAACAATGTTCTGATTTAGCTCCTTCAGCTCCTTTTGGAATTCAGCTCTTCATGTTAATCTGCATGTACATGTAGATCTTGGCTTCAATACTGAACTACTACAGATGTACATGTACATGAACATGAACGCATCCTAAAATGAGTTCAAAATGTAACATGCTATATGTAATGATGTACTATACAACATGTGAGAAATATGAAAATAAACTGAAACTGAAACTGACTGACTGACTGACTGACATGTACATGTATACCAGGGTACTTATTTCTATGCATGCACAATTACACATGCGCCTCGGAATAGTTTACTAGATCAATGGCGCATAATAAATGCTGTATTATTATTATTATTATTACACTTAACATCTAAATTATTCAAACTCAAACCAAATTTTGTAAGTACATGTACATCATATGTAAACAATTGATTTGCCCCAACTTATGTTTTCTTGATAATGGTATACAATCAATATATTAAAGCTTACATATCCAACAAAGGCACTGTATTCAACCAGTTTAGCTTTAGCCTATAATCTAGGCGGAGTGCCGAGCTTTTTTCTTTGCTGCTAGACTAACCTTAAGCAGAATGTCTGATACGGCGAGACTACGAACCGTGAGCCGCGAAGCGGCTCACCGCCTATAATCACTGGTCTAGCTAATCAATATTCATATATATTCAAAATGGCGGATCTATGAATCATTCAACAGCCCTACCAAATAAGGTACACCTATGTTACGTTCGACCAATCAGATATAAGAAACCGCAACGAAAAAAGATTGCGCTCGTCCATTACTAAACAGGGGTAATAAAAAGGAAGAAGGGGAGATGAAACCAAAAAAATCTTTAAAATGATCATTTTACTACTGTGAAATATCAAAAAATTAAAAAATTGTAGTTTTATGTGAACAATAAAACATATATCTTTGTATGGTAAAACAATTATCGTATCAAATTTACAATGACAAATTAGTGGTTCCCCCTTGCTTTGAATGGACGGCAACGACTCGAGTCATCATGATCATAGAATCTGTGGTCGCGTAGAAAATCACAGCACAAGGGGATTGCTTGGTATATTGCACTCTTTCCAAAACCAGTAGGTAATGCAACAAAAATATCCCTGCCGGCTTCAATAACGCTACGAATAGCGAATTCCTGCAGTTCTCTGAATTTTCCATTAGGAATGCCTACATGTAGTTTGTTGGCCGCATATGATAAACTTTCTCGCAGAAGATCGTCGTCGCATGAACTACCCGCCATCTTGGATGAAGAAAATGACGTAATGTCACGTGATTTATAATATGCATATGCATAGACTCTTCTCCATACGTGTTTCTGATTGGTTGAGTTCATTTCGTATTCATGAGGTTTTTTCGTACGAAAAACTGCCACGGATTAAAAAAAAAAAAAACTAAAGCTAGACCAGTGATTATAGGCGGTGAGCCGCTTCGTGACTCACGGTTCGTAGTCTCGCCGTATCAGACGTTCTGCTTAGGGTTAGTCTAGCAGCAAAGAAAAAAGCTCTGCACTCCGCCTAGATTATAGGCTAGTTTAGCTTTGATTCATGTGTTATGAGCAGGGATGCCAGTGTTCAGGCAATAGCATACATGCCAACTGTTCAGATTAAAGAGGAACATTCCTCTTTTTGGGAGAAGATAATTATCATTTTAATGCAGGTGTTCCTCTTCCTGTACAAATTTGTCTGTAGTATTGAATAGGAGAGTTAGGATTGTTCCTCTTTTTTTTGAAAATAGCATAATTTGTACAGATTTCTGATTTTCAAATGTTGGCATGTATGCAATAGCCTGAATTCAGGCCCTGGCAGGTTATTTTCAGACCATAGTTGAGGCTTTTTTGTGTCCAAAATAGATAATTCTAGGTGATTTTCAGGCCCTCTGATCAATTTTAACTGGCATCCCTGTATGAGCCAGGAAGACAAACCAATCAAATCAAATTTACAAGGGGTATTTCTATGTACATGTATCCTACATGAAGCCATCCCAACTTACACTGTTATTGTATCTGTCCATTTTGCCCCTCACATCATATATGTACAAGACAATAATCAAGTTATTTCATCCAAAAATGAAAAGCCCTTGATGTGACAGTTTACTACATGTAAAGGTTCATTTAAAGGTTCATTTAACTCTTATCCTGCCGCCGGGTTAATCTCTATTGTGCCAAGCCCCAAATCCCCGCAGTGCCAAGTTTATAACGAGATAATCGGATTAACTCGATGGTTCTATCAATAGCGCGTGCAAAACACTAGGCACAGTCCAATGGGCATGAACAATAACTGCTATTACATATGCGTGCAGACATGCAAGAAGCAGAGGAGCAGTAGCTTGCTGAGGTGTACATGGCACTATAACAATAGCGTGCATGCATCCTTATGGCAGGCTATAAGTTAAAGGTTCATATCAAGAGATTATTTCTTTCTTGTATGAAATAATAGAAAAGGAGATATACATGTACAGGGATATTGCAAATACCTCGTAATGGTACTCATAAAGGCAGGCAAACTTTGAGCCAGATTTGAGCTTCACTTTTTAAACTAGGTTTGAGTTTATAATCCTTTGTCTATTTTCTATCCTGTACAACTTACCATAACCCTGGAACTAAATGAAATTGTATTTTATAGAAATAGATTACGGTACACATTTTCTCTTTATAATTACATGTACATTTGCATGTAAATTAATTTGTATTGAAAGTAATTTCAATATTACACTCTACCGGTATATAAAATGCAACCTAACTTACGTGTACATGTACTCTCTACACCCTTAAAATCAGAATCAGATCTGATTAATTACACTGGGTGGTATTCTGGTAGCGCGTACTAAGTTAGCGCGCACTAAGTTAGTCCACATTTTTATGGAGTGCCTGTTGTCAACTCACATATCCTGTACAGATTATTTTAATCCTTCAATGAAAAGTCTCCAAAAAATTAATTTTGCAATGAAATGGGAAGAAAAAGATAATATGAGTATGAACTGAATTTGGGCCATTCCATGAGAAGAAGGACATGACATCAAAAAAAGAAATGTACCTCTTATGTTAATTTTTTGATTTATCACTAACCTTACATGTATGCCATGGATGTTCATAAAACATTAGGGCCTTTCAAATTCAATACAATTTATTTTTCATTTTTGTTGATTTCCTAAGATCTCAAACCATCATCAAAAACGTACATGTGGGACTGTAGATGAAAAAAAAAAAATTTATTGCAGATTACACAGGATTCTTGTAATATTTTTTCCTGAAAATTTCGCTAAATTGAAAAAGATGAATATATTTCCATATTCTAAGCCTTTTCTAAGGGGTCCTGGGATATTTAATCTATTACATAGGGGTGAAAATGGCCTCCGGACAAAATGTAACGCGAGTTACCATAACATGAGTTACCGACATATTTGCTTCCTGCATTTTACTAGTCCATTGTTTCTTATCTTTAATATTGTGATCTTATACTAGTAAGTCTCAACCTACTATCAACGTAGGAAAGATTTTGTCAAGATTGTCTAGTATGAGGAGACTTTGCCAAAAGAGGGTCTCATAGAATTGACCATGTCCTTTTTTTGTAACGCGAGTTACCAAAATTCAATAATCCAAGAATCTAAAAATGTTTGTTCTTCAATTTTCTTTTTTGTTTCATTCAGTTGTTCTATATCTACCCTGTCCATGTTTGAAAAAAGTATCTTGCAGATCCTAGCAGTTCTAAAGATATAGGCACATTATCGTGTCAATGTACCCATTAGGTGTAACGCGAGTTACCATGGAATGGCCCATTTCCAAAAAGTCTTTGGTAGATTATCTTTGTCATGAATATTGAAGGAGGAAGATGAAACCTAGCATTCCATAGAAGTGTGAACTAAAATTCTTGTTTAGTCTGGACTTAGTCCCGGCTTAATATGAGAATACCACCCACTGTACTTACTGTAAATATATTTATTGTTTAAGAGTACAGGCGCAGGATTATCATGTTCAGGGCAAATGTTAACACTGCTTGCAAACTAATTTTCAAACAAGCTCATCAACTCTGTCTTTTTATTTGATAAATTTATAACTTAGTGTATATGTCTCTTTAATATTTCTTATTGTATTTCCTTTCATATTTAGCTGGCAGAGGGACGGGATCTACATCAGATTTCAACCGCCTTTCACAGGGAATCGCCAGCAATGTACAAAAAATCACACAAAATGGTAAGTTATTGGGTCACATTTATGGAAACTGAAACAGGGGATGAGGGTTTATGCTGATTTCCCTCCCAAGGGCTTAAAAGAGCACCTGTTGAAAAGAAAAAGCTAGAGAAAAGAAAGAGCTAGAGTAAATAAAGAAGTAATAAGATAATTTGATCAATCAGGTCTAGTGAAATCAGAGAAAATGATCATAATCACTATTTGGATTAAAATAAGCCTTTCAAAATACTATTGGCCATTTTTACTTTTCCTAATCTTTCATTTGCATCAACAATTGATGAAACCTGTTCAAAGGTTCTGAATGCAGTATTTAAAGCTTATCTGCCGTAGTTTATAGGAGGGATTAGACTGCCCAGCAAGGTCACTGGACATGTGGTTATCTCATCAACTCAGCTCTCAGTTAACATAAGAAAAAGAGGATCATGGGGGACCAATGGTCACCGATTAGTCATTGTTTGTTATATAGAGGGTGCAAATAGCTACAAGTAGTGCAGTGGGCCTTTAACTATAAATGTATCTATAGAATGGAAAGATTTGTGAATGAGTAGAAACTTGCTCCAGATAATAACATTAGAATTTAAAGAATAATATATTTTACCTGTCTTCAAGTGCATACATTGTACATGTACATGTACATACATGTACACAGGTGTACACAGGTGTACATGTATTTAGCAAAGGAATGATGTTTATCATTCAATAATGTGGAATTATCATTTCAAGATCAAAACTATTTCAAAGCTTTTCCATGTGAATAAAGGTGACTCCGTTATCTCGGTTGAAATATTTAAATTGAGGCAAAAGGCAAGAAATAATATCTCAACAACATGCACCACATTGTATATAACTATTATGCACTACATACATCTTGTATGTAATTTTGGATACGTGTGCATGTCATGTTGATTTTTTTGGAGGGTACCCAGGAAGAACAGTATTTCCTTCATTGATGGGCTGTCCTTTAAAAATAAGAATAAATCAAATCAAATCAAATCAAATCAATTCGTAATGACACATCTACAGATGTATTTTTAGTTGCCTTTTGTGTGTGTCAAATTTGATTTAGCAAACACTTTTATTAATCAGGCCTGATAATTACCCAATTTAAATGGTTTCCCGACTATTTTTTCCCCAATTTTCTTACTCAAAGGGGGGGGGGGGGGGAGAATTTTGTTAGATGCCATTCCCCCCCCCCCCCCGAATCCTTTTTCTTACTCAAGAGGTGGGAAGTTGAGGACCCCCCCCCCCCCTCCCTACTTTTTTTGTTTACTGCTCAGTGCTCCCTGTCTCCCCTGATTAATGGTTAATGAGTTATAACCCTCTTTATTTCATCTTTCACCTCTCAGTCAAAGAAATTGAAAGATTTATCGAAAGACTTGGATCGCATGAAGACAACAAGAGTCTCAGAGGCAAGCTGTAAGTAATCCATAACCATCTATCTACACGTACAGTTAACAACTAAATTATTCATACCCTTACCGAGTTGCAATATTCTACCGTAAGTATGTGGAAATTTGATTTGTTCTGATTTATGTTTCTTGAGAATGTGACATATTAAAGGTACTACATGTATGTCCCTTTTGCAGGCCAAAAAAATGAAAAGGTTAAATTCCAATGGCATTTGAAAGATAATACTAATTTAGAACTCCCCTTAAAAAAAATGGCGCTTGAAAATGTCTTTAAGTGGGAAAATAACTACTATTAGTTGTCAAATCGACTTAGGAGCTGTAGAGCCAGTAAGTAATGGTCTGATTTTCGGACTATTATACCGCATGGTCGTACGTTTTATGCTGCGCAAAAATTCAATCAGTTTAATTTTGGCCATTACAAGAAGTGGGTTATTGATGTAGAAAAATCCTTTACAGCTCATTTGATGTATGTTATTACCAAAGAAGAAGAAAAAGCCAGTCAGTCACTCAATACTGACAATAGTGTCTGACAGTGAAGTCGAGCAAGTAAACGGGTTTCCTTGCATAATTTGAATATAAGGACACTGCTAACGTTTAAATTTCACAGATAGGACATACATGACATATTCATAATTCCTGCCAAGTTCTACATAATTTGAGGTTGGCTGTAAAAGGGACATAGTATCTTTAAAGCTTACATCTAAACCTATTAAACAAAGGCCCTAATTCAACCAGTGCGCCATTTATTCTTGTGTTACCAAAAATAGACTGTTGAAGGTTCATGTACAATGTACATGCTCTATACATTGCCTATAGATGAACAGTATTGCTACACTGTAGGTCAAAATGTGTTTTTGAAACTATTTTGTATTAATTTATGCTGTAGCTGTAAGTCAATAGTTTTTGGCTATAGGCATGGTCTTAAATATTGGCAAGAAAGTTGATCATTAATCAGAATTTTTTTTTCGCACCTGTCTAAAGCTTGTTTCATAATGACATTGTTGTTGTGGAATGATCCAACGATGACAATGATGGAAGTATGCCAGCTACATTATGAGCTTAAATTTTGGTTGCTGAGACCATGTTCAGTGAAACTGCACAGTAATTGCTAATTAAACAAGCTGCATAGTATTTATTATGACCTGTATCAGACATATGAGCAGTGGTTTTACAAAATTATATTACACTTGTTGTAATCCTAACAGAGATAATCAATAAATATGAGACCATATTACCCTCTCATGAAAAGCCTATGGACTTTACGGGTTAAAAAAGCAGGAAATGAAGTCTCATATTCACCGCGTCGTATTTAGTCATTTTCATTGCGCATCTATTTTGCGTACGAGAACCTGCACACTTTGCGCGCACTCTATTGACGTAATAATCACACCAAATTAGGTACACTGTTTGCAGTGTATCGAAAATTTTGTCAAGCACTGGATGCACAGTGCTGGTTTGACAAAGTTTTTTCAGTTCTATGAGATTGTCATGGTTGATTTGTGTATTTGCTCTAGATGTCTTATTTGGATAACAATAACAATATTGACTCGCTTAACTTTCGGGAGATACCACATTTATTACCCTCACAAGACCCATATTGCCCTCGTCTTTGACTCGGGGCAATATGAGTCCAGTTTGGGAAATATATGTTGTTTCTCCCTCAAGGCCAGTCCATATTACACTTCTCTTTTTCTTTTTCTCCTTCTTCTTTTTCTTCTTGTACTTATTATCATATATAAGTAAGTGTTTACCCTAAATATTTTTGTTTAATCTCCCCATTCTGTTTACTTTTCTCTCTCTCTCTCTCTCTCTCTCTCTCTCTTTCTTTCTCTTTTTTGTTTCTCTCTTTATCTCTTTCTCTGATTTTTTTTCTCTCTTCCTCCTGCCCTACCTCTTTCTCCCCTTCTTTCTCTCTGTTATCTCTTCTCCTCATCCCTCCTCTCTCACTCTCTCTCCCTCTTCTTCCCTATTTCATCCCATCTCTCTCCTGCTTGCATTCTTTTTCTGCCCTCCTCTCCTACCCCCCCTCTCTCTCTCTCTCTCTCTCTCTCACCCCCTCTCTCCTCTATACCTCCCATATAACAGGGATGAGGTACAGCATTATACCAACCAGCTGGCTAAGGATACCAACAAGATGCTCAAAGATCTCAACTCCATTCCTCCATCCTATTCAGACCAGGTATTACATGTCCACATGCTGCTAGAAAAAAGGCCGTTGGCACACACGCATACCACAAAGCAAATATCTGATAAATCGCATATAAGGCTTTGATTGTTATGTACACCTTATATAACTTCTACCTAAATAACTACCTACATTTTGAGTCATCGCGTCGGGTCAGGTGGTCGCGTTACCCGTCGTTTTGTGTCAACTGACCTTTTATTCACAAAATGTCCGGGGTAATGTTTGGGAAATATAACTTTCTCATCTTAATGGCCTTGTCCAACTCACCCGACACCAGCGCCCGACACATTGTGAAAACCCTCTGTAAATCTACGAAAGGTCACATCATCTTTGGCTTTCATTTCACGAAAGGTGGTGTAACGCGACCACCCGATCGGGCCTTTTTTTTCCTGATTATTTGAAGTAAGCCATTTTCAAAACATGACAGGGATTACTGACTATTAAAAAAGAAAAAAAAAGCGATTGTAAAGTTCTACCTAATTTTAGTAATTTCATATCAAATAGGCAAACACTTTGTTAAGTTACTTGCATTTTGATAATGCTAACTACTCTTTCCTTAAAGGCATCGTTTAACAATGTTAAATCTGAGATGCACGGCCCTACGTGTTGTCAGTGTCTGTGTTTTGATGTAATATTGAAGCCTTAAACAAATTGCGCTTCAAAATGATCAATAAGTGCCTCAAAACAGTAAAAATCTTTGAGTGACCGGTTTTACAATACTCGTTTCCCCCAATATACTCTAGTCTTATAAAAACCGTTTGGCAAATGGTTTTCAAAATTTGTAATTCCAATCATAAATATCTTGATAATCAGACAGGCAATCGGCATGTAAAAGTCATGGGGTTCCTGACTGACCTAAAGGTTTATAATTATCATTGCAGCATGAGCTAAATCCAGGATTTTGTTTCAGAATCTGAGACAAAGTTACCGGATCCCTTTAATGCATTAGTGCAATCTGTGTTTGACGAATATGAGACATACATATAGTTATTATACATTACATCTACTTGATCATCCCTTTAACAGTTTTTAAGGTACACAAATATTCTTTGCTCTCATTTTCGACTTGGAGCAATAGGATTCTGTTGCAGGCAATACGACAGCTCTCCCCCTAAGGGCCATTCAATATTACATAAATATTATAATATATTTGTTGTATTTTCCTTTGATAAACAGAAGCAACAGAAGATGCAGAAAGAACGTCTTACAGGTGAATTCACGTCGGCACTCAATCAATTCCAGAGAGTCCAAAGAGATGCAGCTCAGAAAGAGAGAGATTCCTACGATAAGGTCAGAACTGGGTCAACAACATCGGTGAGTAGTACTTCGTTTTTACCTTACATATTGGAATGTACATTTACTCCTAGTATCTGTGACTTTAAAGGCCAAGTCCAGTCTCAGAAAAAGAAAAACACATTTGTAAAGTAAATTGGTTGTTATACAGTAGGCTTGCGGATGCACCATGTGAGAGAGGGAGGAATGAGGAGTCCTGCAAAGGACTCTCGGTAATCTTTATTGAGGGTGTGTAGTCCTGAAAAGGACTGTTGGTGTAGTCTTGAAAAAGACTGTTGGTGTAGTCTTGAAAAAGACTGTTGGTTATCTTTCTTAGCTTATAGTTCTAAGGAGAACTATAGCGCCGATTGGAGAGGATGGGTGGCGGGAGTGGCTCGACGTTTCAAACAGGTTGACTATCCATCATCAGGAGTCAGGAGATTACCGAGAGTCCTTTTCAGGACTCCTCATTCCTCCCTCTCTCTCTCTCTCACATGGTGCATCCGCAAGCCTACTGTATATCTACATCACCATGCAAGCCGATACTTACAAGCAACATCTAAATGTATTGTTGTTGATGACATGAAGAAAAAATATGAAAATCAGTAGACAAAATGGCAATTTGACATCGTCTACAACTGTAAGACCCAAAACACCCTGAAATTTACTTATGAATATAAATATGCTTGTGACAGTTGAGGACCTTAGATCAAGAGGACTTTACACGTACATGTTTGAATTTCCATATTTAATCTTACACGTATTCCAATATCTGTGAAAATATTCATAAAATATTGGATGGCTTTGAGTGTGATACAAGAATATATTGCTCGAGTTATGACAGTATTGGAAGAGTCAAAGACGAGTCCAATATTGTCATAGAGAGAGCAATATATTCTTATTCTTGTATCACACAAAAACAATGCCATACAATATTATTATTATTATTATTATCTATGTCAGGTTGACTAGCGAAAAAACTAATTCGATAATCAAGCAATATAGCAGTCCTGGATGACAGAGCAATACGGAAACTGTCATCTGGGTACTGCGCTAAAGATATTAAAGGGATAGTTGAGTTCTGTTGCAGAGGGCGCTACACAAAATAATTTTTTGTGAGATAATGAAAAACTGAGTGTCAAATTTGAAAGAACATACATATTAAGTGACAAAATCATCTTTGTTTGATTAAAATCGGTTCAGAGACAGCTGAAATATCCATAGATATAACGATTTCTAATATTTGTGTACCACCACAAATATTCAATAATTTGAAAAAGCCGTTAAAAAACCGTTGGAAAAACAAAATAGCGCATTTTAAGTTGTATTTCAGCCAAAGCCGATGTTCGCGTTTTTGTTGGCTTTTTCGTGTTGGATATATTACGCACATCCAGCCGGCCCATGTATTGCTATTTTTAATTAATTAATTCATTAATGGTCACCATATTTTTTTTGAAAGTGGAGCTGAATTGGTATGATCGTATTGGCTAAATTTCACACATTTGGGGTCTAAAATTACCTTCAGAGCAATTTTAGGTTCTAAAAGGGGACGAGAAATGTCATAGAATAAAAGCAGTAACCATGCACTTTGAAGGCATTTGCGGTCTGAAAACAGAACTCAGCTATCCCTTTAAATACACTGATTTATTGTACCACTTGGAAGCCTTATATAGATAATAATCAGTTGTATGCATGTATGTATTGGCCTTCAATAAAGCAGGCTCGTTTGTACGAGGTATGCCTGGTGTTAACATGTTTTCTTTTGCCATGCTTTACAATACAGGGCGGGTTCGAGGACCACTCCAGCGATACACTTATTAGTGGATTTGAAAGGTAAGGATTACTATATGTAATCACGGTCATGGGGCACATTATATATGCAAAAATAGCTTGTGATCGCATTATTATCAATAGAACCGATGGAAAGATTACCATCACACGCAGGACATGTACATGTATGTATCTTGCAAAGCCAATGAACTGATTAGATTTTAGAGTCATGAGGTCAAAGATAAGAGGGTCATACATGTATATGAAAAAAATAGCTTGTAATCACGATATTCTGAGAACCTGTTAATGGATTACAATTAAACTTGAACAAAAAGTGTGGTGAGCTCCGCTAAGTGCTCTATTTAGAAAGTGTTGAATAACTTTCTGGGATTCGTTAAATGTTGCAACTGAGTTGTAATATCACTCATAAACAGTATTAGATCACTGATATAAGTGAATTCAAGAACTTCCTGGGGGGTGTTTCACAAAGATCCTAAGTTGAACTTATCTCTAAGTTGGACTTAAAATTTATGGAAAGCCGTTAGCATCTTTGAAAATATTTTGTAATTTTTTTTTAAGAGGCATAAAATGTTGATTCAAATCATTCATAGTTTTCTATTATCAAGGAGATTTCATGTTCTTGATGTGGAATTTATAAAAAGTCTAAAATACTTGAATTTTCGCTTTGAACATATTTTATTGAAAGACTACGAATGGCTCTCCATAATATTTAAGTCCAACTTAGAGTTAAGTTCGTCTTGGGATCTTTGTGAAACACCCCCCTGATCTCTTTCACAACGATAAATCTTTTTCGATGTTTGGTGACGAAGTTCAAGACAGGATGCAGGTATGACTCAACAGAGCCAGGTGAGCTACGAAGACTTTGAAGCCATCAAGGAAAGAGAGTCGCAACTCCATAAACTAGAGGTAAGTATTAAAAATTGAAATGCATGCAAGTGGAGAATGTACAGTGAGTGATTTCAAGTATGGTGTTCGGTGTTGGTGTTGGTGTTGGGTGCGCGGAAAGGCTGCTGAACTGAGCTCCAACACCAACAGTCAGTTTAGAAGGACGATACCAATCACGTTATCGATAGCTCAAAACCAGCCTCAACTCCGAGGGACGTCCTTCTCTACAGGCGAAAAGTCTTGCGATAAAAGCATAATCCATTAAGAAATTCCAATAAATTACATCATACAGAATTCATAACCTGAAGTCATATATAAAAATGAATATAAAAAATATAATCTCTCTTGAAAAACATATAAAGCTCCCATGATTTATAGTTGTTTTGACTGGAAAATGGATTTTACCTTGGCTTGATCATGAGATTTGTGACAGATGCCCGCATAGAATTACCTGCGGTATACTGCAACACCAACACCGAACTTGAAATTATGAATTTCTCAATCCCTAGGGGGCTGGTGTTGGTGAATGGGAAAATTACACGTAAATCATCAACACCAACCGCGATACTCGGTTCAGCAGACGACATTCAACACCAGCCCTCAATACAGACTACCGGAAATGCATCATATTTTTTCGAGGTCAACCTTAACACCAGCACGTCTTCAAGTTCGGTCATGTAGCTGGTGTTGGTGTTCTCACAACACCAACACCAGCTTTCAACACCGAACTTGAAGTCACTCAGTGAATTTGTGTTGAAGATGACTTCAAAAAAATGATGGAAGCAAAGATGAATTAATTACCCCCTTCCAGACAAATAAAAAGAAAGATTTGGGTTGCGATATTTGTCATGAGAATTACTTAAAACTCTACAAAAGCAATGACAACAACATGAACAAGAATGAAAACAACACATGAGTTTTCATTACTGGGTTTTATATTGTGATTGAAATTAGGTATTATTTTATGGACATTTTCAATGTTTCATAATTCACCAATAGTAATAATAATAATATGTCTTGTTTTAATACTCAGGGTAGCCTCATCAGTATTCATACTGTTCTCCCTGAGGGCCCTGCGATCATATTATTACGATCATTAATGATGCTCTTTTTTTCTTCTCTGTTTTTTGTCACAGTCTGATATTCTTGATGTCAACCAAATCTTCAAGGACCTTGCTACAATGGTCCATGAGCAGGGAGACATGATAGGTAAGAATCAAGAATTCTTCAATTTCATAGAAGTATCAACTAGATATTATTACTATTTTGTATATCAACCAAAACTATTTAAAGGCATCGTTTAACACTGTTAAATCTGAGATGCACGCCCCTACGTGTTATCATTGTCTGTGATATGGTGTAATATTGAAGCCCTAAACAAAATTTGCTACAAAATGATCATGAAGTGCTTCAAAAAAGTTAAAATCTTTGAGTGACCAGTTTTACCATACTCATTTTCCCCAACAGACTGTATGGTTATAAAAACCATTAGGAAAACAAATTCTGAAATTTCTAATTTCAGTCATAGAAGTATCAACTAGATATTACAGTCAAACCTGCTTTAGTGACCACCTGTCTACAAAGACCACCTGACTGCAAAGACCCCATTTTTGTTTCCCTTGAAAATGGTTTCTCATTCAAACATGTACTAAAGGAACCTGTCTACAAAGACCACATTTTTTGTTTCCCTTGAAATTTTTTTTCATTGAAACATGTACTAAAGGAACCTGTCTACAAAGACCACCTTTTGTTTTTCCCTTGGGCAGTCGCTATAGACAGGTTTGACTGTATTATTATTTTGTATATCAACCAAAGCTATTTAAAACAGACAATTCTTTAAAAGTGACACCGGTTGTGGGCTGTTAACGTCAGAGAGGGGACATGGGGGTCCTGCTACAGTGCACTCTTTCCTCTTAAGCGCCTGCTAGCGTGTTTCTCCAGGCTGTCAAGTTACTAATACTTTCCATGTCCAACAGTTTCTTTCCACGTACGATCTTCTTCAGAAACACACCATTAGCAGATAATAACACTATCGCTATAAGAGAATAGCGTACCCATCTCCAGAGGTGGATATTCCGTTACCTCACCTTCCCCGTTCTGTAGATAGAAATGTTTCTTTACTTTAGTGTTAGTAATGAAAGTCAGACACAATTCATTATCGCACGCAGCATCCACTGTCCAGACATGAAGTGTTTCTGGTAAATACTGTTAGATCCTTGAAACACGTTGGTCTCTTTGCCGATCCGCCGGGATTGAGAGGTCCATTCTTCCCAGGGACCACACTAACAAGCATAGCCTTTAGGGGTCTCATTTTGGATCGTGTTTGTTCGTCATGATTGCTATGTCTGGTGTTTTAAAAAAAAAAACTGAACTAAACTGAACTGAGCTGCGTGAATAAGCAATTCATTGTGCCTCTGTAGAAATAGGCTGGTTACAATAGTCTTCATAGGGGTTACTTTCCAGGTCATTCCAATTTGACGATTCTGTCACTTTTTGCGCTGTTCGTCACGGTTTCTGTCCTTCCACCTCCATTTTGAAAATTTGCAGACAGCATAGAAGCTAACGTGGAGTCAGCGGAGGTGCATGTAGAGCAGGCCAACACACAACTTGATAAAGCAGTTACTTACCAGGTGAGTTGACCTTTGACCCCTTTGACGAGATAGTGTTAGAGGGATAGGAAAGTCAGTTTACCTACCATGCATTCACCTGAAAGTTGCTCATGTGTGGGTATATAGAGGGCAGCACACTGAGCCAACGTTTTTTAGGCTCCTGTGAGTAGGTGTACGTCCGTACGGGAGCGTTATACCCATTGGCTCAGTGGCTCAATACGCCACCATCTCTGATTAGTTCTGTTTCTAACATTCTCCTGATTTTTGAGCCTTTCATGTGAAAGAAATGTATTTACAAAAACATTTAGAACATTTTTAATAGCAAAGAATATCAATGTAAAGAATCAAAGTACTCTTATTATTCTAGTTTTTCATAGTCAAATTGCTGCATTAGAGGTTTTGTATACTGGTTTAAGTATTGTGTCTAAATGGGACCTTTTGATTTACACATTAACACAGTAGTACATTAATTAATTTAGTTGTGATTATAAAATGTGTTTAAAAAACAATGCTCTTATAAGAAGTTCTATGACCTTTCCTTTTTGCATCCTTTTGGTGAGCTCATGAATGTTGTTGCTTTTGATGTTAAATTGCAGTCGAAGGCGAGAAGAAAGAAGTTCCTGCTGCTGATCTGCTGTATAATCTTGGCTGGAGTTATTGCTTTAATCCTTTATATCGCCTTGAAGTGAATGATCCATCTTCAAGTTGGCAACTCAGTGGGATCATGATTTAATCAAAGAAAAATGATAATTTAATTCCATCTATTTAGCATAGAATGCCGCGATCGCAGAATGAAATCGGAAGATGGTCAACTTCATATGTTAAGGAAGGACCTTTTTATTGTAAAGTTCTGCAGATCGGCTCTTTAAATTGGCAACAGATGTCCTGCATCAGCATATATATGAATATTATTGTATTCTTTTTATCCAGTCATGTATATATTGTCAATGACTATTTTCAAACTACATGTATGTTAATCTACCAATGAAAAAGAAAAGAAATTATCAAGGAATCACTTTTAATACTCAACTTTGTAAAACAAAAATGACTTCACCTAAAAAACACCTCTTAAAGTTTGAAAATGGGTAAAAGTATCTGTCATTGATTGAATTATAATATTTTAAGGTTAGTATGTTCAGAAATAATTAATAAACATATAAGTGATAGATATAGTTAGTTATTCATAACTTTACCAAGTTTTGTAAATTTAGAAGTACCAGGTATGTGAGAAATTGATCTGTCCAGATTTGTGTTAATCGAGAATATGACCTATTAAAGCTTACATCTAAAGTATTCGACCAAGGTCCTAATTCAACCAGTCCGCCTTTCATTTTTGAGTTACGAAAAACAAAAACAAACTTTACAAGGGTATTAATAATTTACTTGTTAACTGTACATGTAAACTATCACAATTTGTCATTGATCAAATAATGATGCTATAAATAATGTATGATGGTTCTTATTGTTATTTCAAACCCCTACTTTCAGTCGAAAGCAAGACGGAAGAAATTCCTCTTGCTCATCTGTGTTCTAGTACTCGTTGGGGTATTAGCGCTAATCATCTATTTCAGCGTGTAAGTTGAATCATATTTTTGTTCTTCTGCAAATTAACAGCACTTAGCAAAATAGCACATGCCACTAATATATCTATCTGGTTTCTCTTGGAATGGTTTGCACATGTAGCTTTTTAGATATTGGATTTTTGATTTTGTTTTTATAAATTAACTTTTCAATTTTGTTTTGTTTTGCTTTTGTTTTGCAAATTGTCATCACTCTGAGTTCTCTCACCTCCACATATAGATGGAATTTGCTTTATAATTAATCTTACCCAACTAACCCAATGGTCTAATTCTTCTACTAATTTCTACATCTTGCTTGGTATTCAATTCAAAACCTTTGTCAGAAATATGAGTATTTAACTTTAATAGGTAAATTGCTTAGACAACTTCGGTTGTCCGACTAACCCAATGGTCGAACTCTTCTACTAATTTCTACATCTTGCCTGGTATTCAATTCAAAACCTTTGTCAGAAATATTGGTACAGTATTTAACTTAGTTTTCGGCTTAGGTAAATTGCTTAGACAACTTCGGTATTCAGTTGGAGCTTTTGCCTAAGTATTTTACTATAAGTTTAAGACATAAGCCAAAAATTTGGAGGCCTTGGATCCAGTTGGTTGGCAGGCTCATGGTTTTCATTTGCAGCCATTGTAAGCTGCGCACAATTATATCAGTGCCCATTCAATCCACAAAGCTTTTGGATTGGCTAAGTAAGTAAGTATTTTGCCTCAAAGTTGGCGTACTGAAGTCAAATACATAGATGCGATTTGAATAAGAATTGAGCCTTTTTACTTAACTAAGCTAAATGCTAATTAAAATACTGATAAAGTTCACAAATGGAATTGAATATGGGACCCGTTTCACAAAGCCTTTCCAATGACAAATTACAAAAATCAGTGACAAATCTGCTGATAACCAATCAGAAGCAAGGATTTCAATAGCTTATCTCAAAAACTTATCATTTGTCACTGATGACAAGTTTTGTGATAAGCTTACAGGTAATCAGCTCTATGATTTTAGTACTAGTGCTTTGCATGCCTAAAAGAAAGGACTTTTCAAAAGTTCAGTGGCTACTATTCTCTATTTTCCCAATCTTTCCAGGGGTGTGTTTCACAAAGATTCTAAGACGAACTTAACTCTAAGTTAGACTTAAATATTATGGAGAGCCATTTGTATCCTTATAATGAAATATATTCAGAAGCAAAAATTCAAGTATTTTAGACTTTTCATGAATTTCACATCAAGAACATGAAATCTCCCATGATAATATAAAATATAAATGATTTGAATCAACATTGTATGCCTTTTAAAATAATTTCTACAAAATATTTTCAAGGATGCTAATGGCTTTCCATAATTGTTAAGTCCAACTTAGAGATAAGTTCAACCTAGGATCTTTGTGAAACACCCCCAGCTGTGTTATTTTACTCTTTCGCAACCCCTAATGGCAATTGATACCTAAATTTCCATTATCTAATCTTCTGCTGTATTGAATGCTATCTAATTTAGTGAAATTACTGCTCTGCAAATTGGCAGCACTTGGTCAAGTTTAAGAACCATCAAAATGTACCTTTTCAACATCTATTTTTATATTGTAATCTGTATTTTACATCTATGTTCTCTTCTGCAAATTAGCACCCCTTTCCAAACTGTAGCACCTGCCAACACGTCAATATACCTTTCCAGTATGAAACCTGATATTCTATCATCGTTTTCAATTATTCTGTTAAATGATCTTGCTGTTGTGCAAATTGGCACCCCAAAGCTTATGTGACCATGTTTCAATGTAGCTGTAGTCTAACAGTTGAGTTGTAGATGGAGTTGGTTTTATTCAATTTTCTTTTTTCTTTCTTATGTTTTTGTTTGGTTGTCTTGCATGCACTTTTCTATCTCTGCTGTATCTTTGGCATATGATTGTATCCCTTCATGAAATCTAAAAAAAAAGTGGAAATATATGCAGTGTGTGTTTTTAGTTTAGTTTATTTATACCAACAAATCAGTCTTAAATACCAATGCTATGACTAGTGATTATCATTGATATACAGAAGTGATTAATTATCATCAAAGAATATTTAATGCTGTTTTTTAACAATGCTTGAAATCGCACATAAAACCTTTGTAGACAAAAATATATGTGAATATTAATATGAAGGAGATCTCTCTTTCACCATATATTTTCACCGAAATTGTGGTAATTCTGGCAGGAAGAATATTATGTTATCAAAGACGTAAATGGGTATCTGATATCAAAATGTTCAGAAAAATTTGAGCTTTCCAGGAAACACAAAGACTTACCAACACCCCATTGAAGTCAATGGCTAGTTAAACATAGACTTTACTCCTCAAGGCCCAAGTGCTCAGTGACACATAAACCACTTTTTTCTCAAAATGGCCAAAATGGAGTTACGTCTTTGTGTCACTCCCCCTCGATATGCTCGCCTTGACTACAGGATAGTCATAGTGGGATATATTGCAGTGTTGGGATTGTATTTTTGACAGTTTTGACCACTTTTTCTGCAGAACCGAAGGCAAATAAATTTGATGGATCAAGAATATGCCATGGAAACAAGGGTGTCGATTTGTATCCGTGGTTGGGGGGGATGATAGGTGCCAAAATATTTTCGGCAATGGATCAAAGCAACCAAGGGGTAGAAGCATGTGGCAGGTTGCACCCCTCCCTAAGCGCGTAGCCAAGGGGTTGGGTGCAGGGAGGGAGGAGTTTCCCCCTCCCCCGCGAAGCTCGAAAGCTTTGACGTTTCATTAAATTATTAGAGAAAGAAGATGATTCGTTGGACCGTTATCGACTCTTAATCCTTGTTTGAATCAAGTTCCCCTTCCTCCGCGCGTAGCGTGGAAGCTCTGACGTTTAATTAGATTATTAAAGCAAGAAGACGATTCAATGTACCATTCTCGACTCTTAATCCTTAATGTTTGAATCAAGTTTCCCTTCCTCCTTCCTTCGCGCGTAGCGCGGAAGCTCTGATGTTCATCAGATTATTAAAGCAAGAATACGATTCGATGTACCATTCTCGACTCTTAATCCTTAATTGTTTGAATCAAGTTTCCCTTCCTCCTTCCTTCGCGCGTAGCGCGGAAGCTCTGATGTAAATCAGATTATTAAAGCAAGAATACGATTCGATGTACCATTCTCGACTCTTAATCCTTGTCTGAATTCAGTTTCCCCCCCCCCCCTCCCGCGCGAAGCGTGAAAGCTTTGACGTTTCAATAAATTATTACGCTTAATCCTTTTCTGAATTCATTTTCGCCCATCCCGCGCGAAGCGCGGAAGCTTTCACGTTTCATTACATTATTAGAGAATGAAGACGATTCGTTGTATCGCTTGTCTGAATTAAGTTCCGCCCCCCCCCTACCGCGCGAAACGCGGAAGCTGTGACGGTTCAATAATTTATTACTCTTAATCCTTGTCTGTATTCGTTTTTCGCCCATCACGCGCAAAGCGCGGAAGCTTTACCGTTTCATTTAATTAATAGAGAAGGAAGACGATTCGTTGTATCGTGTCCTTGTCCGAGTTCAGTTTTCCCTCTCCCGCGCGAAGCGGGGAAGCTTTGACGTTTTATTTGATTATTACTCTTAATCCACATCTGAAATCATCTTCAACCATCCCGCGCGTAGCGCGGAAGCTTTCACGTTTCATTAAATTATTAGAAACGGCCACTAATTAGGCCCATTAGTGACTATACAAAATATATGCTCTTCCTGGCTATTTGGGAATGTGTCACTTTGCAACAGAAATGGAGAAACGCGAATTCGTTGAAAATCATGTGATATCACGAACATTTATAAATCACTTGTATGAAATTGAAAATAAGTCATGGTTGGATTTTTTTTTTTTTTGGGGGGGGGGTTAGCGCCCCCAAGCCCCTCCCCCCCCCCCCTCCACCAGTGACATAGGCTTACATCAGCTTTTAAATGAAACAAAAATAAGTTGTGACATAATAATCTTTCTCCAAAAATGAAAAATGTTTTAGGAAATATCAGGAAATAAAATGAGTGAAAAAAATAAACAAAGATACAATGACGTGAATTTTAAAGAAAGGTGAACGGAAACAACTTGGCAACTAGTGAACTATCTTATAAGTCATACTGATGTCCGAAAATCGTTCTCCTTGTCTCCGATCTCATCACGAATTCGTCACAGAGTTCATCTATGTTTACACTGTCCAGGATTGTCTGATGTGCATTGCAGATTGCTACTTTTGCGCTTCGCGTTTAACATTTAGCTTGTTGCTTTTTAACGCTGCAGCTTTGCATTTGGCGCACTGCATTTCTATGATGCTGTTGATTGAACAAATTGAATAAATTCATCAATTCCTGATGGAGCCGTATGAGCGAATATTCAATTTATTCTTGTCTCATATACGGTTGTCTCATTTACTTCGTATATATGCAATTATGAAAATGAGATAGCAAAATGTGTATATTGATGGTCATCTTGCGAGTAATAACCGTTAAGTACTCTCATCGGGCTGTCATCATTAATTTTTCTCTTCATTTTGTTTGTTTTGATGGTGAATTATTGGGGGGATGATTGTACAGGGCATCCCCCCCACCTGAAATATTGGGGGGATATATCCCCCCCATCCCCCCCGGGATCGACACCCATGCATGGAAAGCAAATGTCACATAGCTAATGGTGATAAAAGGGACACAAACTGATGGATATATATATAGAGATTGCACGGCGCTAAAGATAACACACCCAGGAGTCATGGGGAGTGTTTCACACCCCGTGTCCACACACAACATTTTCCGTGATTAGGCGTGATTAGTTATACCGTTTCGGGATAGTTATACTGTTTCGCGATAGTTATACAATGAAATTGTGTGTGTGGACGCCTACTAACTATACGTCATATAACGAAACGTTGTATAACGAAACGATGCCCAAACATGCGTTTTGTTATAAGACGTATAAATAATCACGCCATATCACGCCTAATCACGCCTAATCACGGAATATGTTGTGTGTGGACGTAACTAGTATAACTAGTCGAACTAGACAACTGGGCGGGGCTTAACGTGACCTCGAGCAAAAGGGGACCTGACCTCTCATTTCCACTTCCATTTCATGATCGCACTAGCAAACTGCGCACCTATATGACATTTCGCTGTAGAGTTTCAGGATTACTTTGTTCTGTGTGTGGACACCCTGGACTTTATACGATGATTCTTTATACAACTTTTCGTTATATAGTTTCGGGATAAATTGTTTTGTGTGTGGACACGCTGGAAAAGACTAAGATCAACTTTAAGTTGGACTTAACTATGGCAGACCGTCAGGGGCGTACGCAGGATTTTTTCAAGGGGGGGGTTTTGCTCCCGAAAATTTGAAAATCGCGCCGGCCGAAAAGTCGCTCAGTGGGGGGGGGGGGGGGTAAAGCGGACACTTTTTTTTTTTTTTTTGGTCTCGAAATTTCAAAATTTGACATTTTTCTTCGTTGGGGGGGGGGGTAAGGTCACCTTTTTTAGGTTAACCGTGGGTATAATTTTTTTTTTTTTTTAATAATTTAAAAAAAAAAAAAAAAAAAAAAAAAAAAAAAAAAAAAAAAAAATGGTGTTTTTTAGGGGGGTTTACACACATAAAAATACCAAAGGGGGGGGGGGGGGGGTTTGAACCCCCCAAACCCCCCCCCCCCTGCGTACGCCCCTGCAGACCGTACATGTCACTGTTTGCTCTCACCATTTACTGGCAATGTACTCTAAAAGGTTCTCCCAAGGGACCTACACATCAATTCATGGTCACACATCTACAGAATTCAGCTTGTTTGATAGTTCATTATTGAAGGAAAAATATTATCTAAAGATCATAATTGAGAGACCAATGGTGTGAGCAACCAGTGGCATGAATGGCCTGCCCTATTTAGGTCTAACT